TGCTGCTGCTGCTGCTGCTGCTGCAGTTGCAGGAGGGCTTCCGGGGCCATTGGGAAGTGCGGCAAGAGCGCTGGGCCGAAAAGCTGGGACTGCAGAAGCACCGCCTGCTGCTGCAGCTCTTGCTGCAGCTGGGCCTGGGCCTGCACCAAAGAGTGTGGTGGCGGCGGCGGCAGCGGGCGCCCAGCAATTGCGTCTCCCGGCTTCTTACGACTGGCCTCTTTAGATTCTGAAGGGCTTGAAGGGGCTGCAGATGCGGGGCCAGCACTGGTGGGGAGGCTCAGAGGAGGGTGCCCTGTGCTCTCGCAGGAGGCCTGGCTGAGAGAGGCTGCACTGCCTGTGCTTGTGTTGGAGGAGGAGGAGGAGGAGGAGGAGGAGGAGGAGGAGGAGGAGGAAAGGCTGGTGCTGCTGCTGCCGCTGGTGCAGACGCCCACGGGGCTGGGCATGGAAGAGCCCAGGGGAACGCTGCTATTGGCACTGCCGCCACCAACAGCCTCCAGCTTAGCTGCTCGTGCCTTGGTCTGATGCAGGACAGAGCGCATGTGGATCTCCAGGGTGGAGCTCTGGCTATAGGCCACGCTGCAGATGCTGCATTTGAAGGGCTTGTGGTCAGGGCTACTGGTGGGCTCGGACTGGCCAGTGGAAGACTCCTGGAGGGCCCGTTTCAGCTTGTGCAGGTGAGAAACCGAATTGTAGTGGACCAGAAGGATGTTCTTCTGCGTGAAGGATTCTTTGCAAACTGTGCACTTATACGGGCGGGAGGGGTCCAGGAATTTTTCCAGGGTGAAGTTTGGGCCCTTGCGGAAGGGAAGAGCCCGTTTGGGTTCTGAGCCAGAATCCTCCTGTACGGACCCAGAGTCACTCCCTGCAGGGCTCTGCTTGTCTTCCTGGTCGCTGGTCTCCTCCTCTTTATCCTCCTCCACGACGAGGGTGTGGTCCTCAGCCAACGAAGGGTCGCCCATGGCAAAGAGATCCCCATTGACCAGAAGCCCGCTGTACAGCTGCTGGATGTCGGCTTCACTCAGATCCAGGTGGCTCGTCTCCAGGTGCTTCTTAAGGGCCTGAAAAGTCCGGAAGCTCCGTTGGCAAAGGCAGCACATGGTAGCTGCCCGGATGACGTGGTATTGGGAGTGCAGCTGAAGCTTTTCGATGGTTTTGAAGGCCAGACTGCACTGGTTGCAGCGGTACTTGTAGACGTGGCGGTCAGAAACAGGAAGCTGTGGACGCTTGGCATGAGTCTCGCTGAAATGTGCCTGGAGCGCAGTGGAACTCTTGAAGCCCTGGCCGCACCCCTTCTTCCAGCAAAAGAATCCAGCCTCGTCTTTGGCACCAAGCGGCTCGGACGCCGCCGGCTTTCCTCCGCTGCCACCATGCTCCATGCTCTCTGGCAACAACAGCAGGCTTTTGCCCACTTCCTCTGAGGTCTCTGTGGAAGTGGAACCAGAAAGGAGTCAGTGAGACCGAGGCCTTCTCGGTGGCTGGGAACCGGGGAACCCCTAGCTTTGGACCCTGCCTCCTCCTCTTTCCGTTCCTTCCCCCTCAGGCCTGGCCCCACTGGAGGCCTCTCCCTCTTCAAAGCCCAGCTCTCCCTGGTTTTATCCAGAGTGTGCTGTGTGGGTCTGGGTGTACTTCCCTCCCCATTCCCAACCTCCTGCCATTTTTGTGACTTTTCCTTCGCACCCTTTCTGGAATGAGCAAGCCAGAGCTGTGGGGGTGACCACAAAAGGTCTTTTTGGCCTTGCAGATGCCAAACGCACTGCCCAAAGCCAGCTCTGAGCTTCCACAGTTCACGGGGCCAACCCAGGGAACCAAGGCCGAGGCCGCTCAGGGAGACCTGTGGCGAGAGTTTTCTTTCAGGTCCAGGGCAAAAGGTGACTGACCAGGCTGCCTGAGGGATTCCTCACTCCCATCTCGATCCGGTGTTGCTGCCGGGAGGAACGTGTTGCTGGGCATCATCACCTCTGGCGTGGTCACCTGCCGAAGCCCAGAAGGAAACAAGGAGACAGGCCTTAAACCCTTTTGCAAGGCAGGGAGCCCTTCAGCTCCTGGGGCTTTGCTCTTCAGGCCCTTCTATTCCTTAGGCAAAATTCAAGTCATTCAAGCATGTTCCTGCTATTACATAATTAGCAGCATCCTCTCCAAGAAAAGCACTGCTTATAGTTCTCCCCTTTGCACAATTCAAACTTGAATTAGCAGCTGTGTTTTCTCACAACTGTTGGGTAGCCTGTGAGGAAGTTAGGCTGAGCGGCTGAGAATGAGAAAAGGCCCTTAACAGAATGGAGCCGTGAAAGAGCGCCACGGTCCTGAAGGATGACGGGCTGCACCCTTGTTCTTGCTGTGACTTGACCCCCAAGTGGAACCCTAGCGAGGGAAAGAACGTGGGATCAGGACAGGAAGGCCGGGTGCGTCAGAAAAGGAGAAAGGTTCAGCCGCACTTTCCAGACTCAGGAGCAAAAAGAGCAGTCGCAGCTCCCCTATGCCCCTTCCCCTCTTTCACTGATAGGCACACCCTTTGGCTGGGACACTCAGACCCTCTCCCAAATGAAGCACTTAGTTAAGTTAATGGAAAGTTAGTAAAAATTAAGTTCCACGTTAAATCCAACATAGTTTCTGTCCACTCCTTGGCCGAGCTCCACCTCGATTCCAGAGAGCAGGCCCTGGCCCCCCACTCAAGGGACCCCCCTCCCCCAGCATTGCCGACAGGCCCAGGCTGTGGCTGAGGAGAAGATGTTGAGAACGGTCTTGGGGGTTTAGCTCCCAAAGGCCATTTTCAAACCTGAGGTTAAAGGTTTTTCCTTCAGAAAGCTTCTAGGCTGGAAGAAAAAACATTGACTCACTGGGCGACCCTGACATAAATTCCGTAGAGAGAATTATGTTCTTGAAAAGCAAGATCTCTGGGTCATCCATGCCAGAATAGCTGCCAAACATTCAGAACTAGGAGGATATCTTGAAGAACCAGGGATACAGCTTATGGCATTACTGCCAAGAGATGCTCTAACACCTTTCAAAGGCAAGCAGGGAACGAGGCAGTAGCAAGGGGCAGTCTTGCCCTGACAATCCGGAGGAGGAAGCGGGGATGGGGCGAAGAGACTTCTGCTGACATCTCCCGTTATCGCTTGCAACTCCTCACCAACACGAGCTGACTGCTGCGGGTGGCAGAAGCATGCTGGGAAAGAGAAGCCCTGCCCTGGGCTCTGACGCCCATCCTGGAACATGCCCTGTGTCCTGGAGCCCTGGGGCCCCTTCCTTTGCCTCAGTGCAGCCCACATCAAAACCGGGACGTCTGTCCTAAAGTGAGTGCAAGGAAGGAAGCGCCCTGGACCTCTGGCTGACACGACTTTCTCTGCAACTCATCCATCAAGCCACAAGCCTTCCGCCCTGTGTCAACCACAAATCTCCTGTACCTTTGCCTCCCTAGGGCAGCACCCTTGGACTCGCAGCATGCAAAGGCCCGACGTGCAAGAAGCAGCCCTTCCCAGGCATCCACATTCAGGGACTGGCAAACAGCAATGGAATGAGATGGCTGCTTCCCTCGTTCCTTACACCCTTCCCCTTCAGTCTCTAAAGAAAGGCCGTGGCGGCTCGAGGGGACCAAGCTCAGGTGCCTCCAGATGCAGCCAGCAGGGCACCAAAATTATTAAACCGATTCCAAGTATTCCTTCCAAGCCCATCACTCCAGCCGAGCCTGGTCTTTTGCCAGGGTCCAGGCAAACACCCAGCGCAATGGATCCGTAACTGTTTTCGTACACTTTAATTAGAAAAATTCAGGTGGCTACAAATAATAATGGAAAGAGAGGTGTTCGCAGTTGAAAGATTGAAGTCAGTCAAGTGTGAATGACGGCAACACCAGAAAGAGAGGGAGACACCAATTCATCCGACGTCTGTTGTCTTGTGGTGTCTTTAATCATAGTTCCTGATTGGGATTCTAGAAGGGAGTAAGCAGCAATTCTTTGTCTGCCTTCACCTTCTGTCAATTAACTCTCCCTGAAATATAATCATCAGCCCCACGGCAGCTTCGCATCTCAATCTGCTGCTCACTCCCTCTTTCCTGGGATGGCAAAGACCCCCCCCCCGG